TAAACAGCAAGCTGGTCTGCCACGGGTACTACAACCTCAACTTGGTAAGGGTTTCCTAGGGTTTAGGATCGAGGGCTCTGGAAGTCTGGTTTAGGGATAAGGGTTCCGGGTGTCAGCTGCCCTCTCTGTTGAGACCGAAAACACACGAAACATATGTAACTGCAGTCGTTCAGGCGGTACAAGACCCAGAAAAAAAAACGCAACAGCAACGTCTCACAGGAGTGCGGGGCATAAGACACATGCAGCCTACAGCGGCTCTGAGGGTGGGGTTCCTACACGTGGAGGGAGGCATTATCTCTTGCAGGAGGACACCTCACCACAAGAGATAATGAGCCTGGGGGGGGTGGGCGGGTAAGCCGACAGAGGAAAGTCACACAGGCTATTGAATTGGTCGCTTTGGTCAGTGGAACCGATAACAAACCGTGATTCTTAGTGGAACCCCTTTCGGTGGAATTCATCAACCCTTGCTTTTGGCCATCCCTACTAAGCATCAAGGGATTGGTGCCTCCACTGGAGGCAAACCTATTTAGCGAGGGGGTGCACATCCATTGTCGAAAGAGCAGTCATGCGCGCCAGGCAGGTACATCTGCTGCAAATGCTGACCCAGGATGAGTCAACCCTTCAGTCTTGGAGGAACCACCGTTTATGAATCCGCAAGAATTGATGAATCTGGATGAGATGATCCATAGGAGTCCTTGGAAGGAAACCAACGCCCAGCCCCCACATGTTCTTAGAAACTTCAGAGAGGGGTAGGCGGTCGTAGGTTCTTATCAAAGCCTCGTCGAGCAACGTCCTGAAGCCCCGCGCCAAGAACGAAGACGCATCCAAGGCGGCCATTGCACCACGGGCCCGCAGTGCGCTTGAAATCTAGCTATATGTGCATGAGTGTGCTTTGCCCTGTGGCACAAATCATCTCCCTTCGAATATCTCGAATCACCGCAGTGGGTTTGCTCGAGTTTGGTCGGGCTTGGTCGAGTTTGGTCGAATTTGGTCGAGTTCGGTCCAGTTTGGTCGAGTTTGGTCGAGTTTGGTCGAGTTCGGTTGGATTTTGCTCGCATCCGGGCGGTCCAGATGCACCCTGTAGTCTGCAGCTGCCCGTGCTTGCTGGTAGCGTGTGCTCGCCGAGCCACTGGAGTACGTTTGAACTACTCCCCTGCTACTTCCGTCATGAACCAGGTAGACAGTGAGCGCAGACAAAGGGAGACATGCCTGTAATGTTCTGATCTGAGGATCTTGGTTTGAAAATCCAGGGCCTTCTGAGTCCACCCTCTAAATCTTGCATTTGTTTGTTTTCATTGGTCCGGCACCCACTCAAAATCGCCAAGCCTCCCCCCGCCCCGGGGAGAAAAACAAACAAACAACTTCCGGGGTTCTCAAAATTATGTTTGCCTTAAGAGGAGCCCTCTTTCTGGATTCCACATTGCTTGAAAAGGGACATCACGTCACTCCTGACATGTACTGTAGCCTTACAAGTAAAGGGGACCTGCAGGTAAGGCGATGGCCCAAATGTGTCCTTGGGGCCCTGAAAAGGGATCTAGACTGATCCTAGCCTGCCATCCAAGTCCAAGTCCCAGACCTCCAGTGGCCAAGGGCACTCTTGTTCTTGGTAGCTAAGTTCAAAGGGAGATCCCTCCAACACAAAGGAAAAAAAAACAAATGGCCAAGGGCACCACTGGAGGGTTGGTGTAGGGTTGGTTTAGGGCTGGTTCAGGGTTGGTCTAGGGTTGGTTTGGGCTTGGTTTGTGCGTGGGTTAGGGTTGGTTTAGGGTTGGTTTACGACATGGGTTCAGGGCTGGCTTAGGGTTGGTTTAGGGTTGGTTTAGGGTTGGGTTTAGGGTTTTCGACCAAATTCGACCAAACTTGAACACATTCGACCAAAACCGAGCAAAATCCGACCAAACTCGACCCAACTCTACCAAAATCGACCAAATTCAACCAAACTCGACCACACCCGACCAAACTTGACCAAACCCGGCCAAATTTGACCAAATTCAGCCTAGAGAATAGCACTGGGAAATTTCAAGAATTTTCCGGTTGAATTCGACCAAAATCAACCAAAATCGACAAAACCCGACCAAACTCGAACAAATTCGACCAAAATCGAGCAAAATCCAACTAAACTCGACCAAACCAAACTGGACCAAACTCGACCAAATTCGACCAAACTGGACCAAACCCGACCAAATCTGACCAAATTCAGCCTAGAGAATTCAACCGGAAAATTTCAAGAATTTTCCGATCGAATTCAGTCTGGCGATGAACTGCCCAATCCGACCAAATTGGACCACTGCGCTCGACCAAAGTCGACCAAACTCAACTCGAAGTCAGTTAAAATTGACAGCGCTCGACCCCGTGCGACCAAATTCGACCAAAATCAACCAAAATCGACAAAACCCGACCAAACTTGACCAAACCGGCCAATATGATTGGACCACGCACAAACCAATCCGAAACCCAACCCTAGACCAACCCTGAACCAGCCCTAAACCGACCCTAAACCAGCCCTAAACCAACCCTAGATCAACCCTACACCGACCCCAACCCAACCCTCGACCAACCCTAAGCCAGTCCTAAACCAACCCTAAACCAAACCTAAACCAACCCCAAACCAACCCTACACCAAGCCTAAACCAAGCCCAAACCAACCCCAAAGACAGCCTAAACCAAACCTAAACCAACCCCAAACCAGCCCTCCACCAAGCCTAAACCAAGCCCAAACCGACCCCAAACACAGCCTAAACCAACCCTGAACCAAAGCCGAAACCAATCCTAAACCCAACCCTAGACCAACCCTGAACCAGCCCTAAACCAACCCTAAACCAGCCCTAAACCAACCCTGCACCAATCCTCCACCGACCCCAACCCAACCCTCAACCAAACCTAAACCAGCCCTAAACCAACCCTACACCAAGCCTAAACCAAGCCCAAGCCAACCCCAAACACAGCCTAAACCAACCCTGAACCAACCCTAAACCAGCCCTGAACCCACCCTAAACCAATCCTAAACCTACCCTAAACCTACCCTAAACCAACCCTAAACCACGCCGAAACCAATCCAAAACCCAACCCTAGACCAACCCTAAACCAGCCCTGAACCAACCCTAAACCAAACCTAAACCAACCCCAAACCAGCCCTACACCAAGCCCAAACCAAGCCCAAACCGACCCCAAACCAGCCCTGAACCAACCCTAAACCAAACCTAAACCGACCCCAAACCAGCCCTACACCGACCCCAACCCAACCCTCAACCAACACCTAAACCAACCCCAAACCAGCCCTACACCAAGCCTAAACCAAGCCCAAACCGACCCCAAACACAGCCTAGACCAACCCTGAACCAAAGCCGAAACCAATCCGAAACCCAACCCTAGACCAACCCTGAACCAGCCCTAAACCAACCCTAAACCAGCCCTAAACCAACCCTACACAAATCCTACACCGACCCCAACCTAACCCTCAACCAAACCTAAACCAGCCCTAAACCAACCCTAAACCAAACCTAAACCAACCCCAAACCAGCCCTAAACCAACCCTGAACCAGCCCTAAACCAACCCTAAACCAATCCTAAACCAACCCTAAACCAACCCTAAGCCAACCCTGAACCAACCCTAAACCAGCCCGAAACCCACCCTAAACCAATCCTAAACCAACCCTAAACCAACCCTGAACCAAGCCTAAACCAGCCCTAAACCCAACCCTATACCGACCCTGAAGCAACCCTAAACCCACCCTAAACCAATCCTAAACCACGCACAAACCAACCCCAAACCAACCCTGAACCAACCCCAAACCAATCCTAAACCGACCCTAAACCAGCCCTAAACCCACCCTAAACCAATCCTAAACCAACCCTAAACCAAACCTGAACCAACCCTAAACCAATCCTAAACCGACCCTAAACCAGCCCTAAACCAACCAACTCAACCCTAAACCAGCCCTAAACCCACCCTAAACCAATCCTAAACCAACCCTAAACCAACCCTAAACCAGCCCTAAACCAACCGACCCTAAACCAGCCCTAAACCCACCCTAAACCAACCAATCCTAAACCAACCCCAAACCAACCCTAAACCAACCCTAAACCAACCCTGTATCAACCCTAAACCAGCCCTAAACCAGCCCTAAACCAGCCCTAAACCCAATCCTAAACCAACCCTAAACCAACCCTAAACCAACCCTGAACCAACCCTAAACCAGCCCTAAACCCACCCTAAACCAATCCTAAACCAACCCTAAACCAAACCTAAACCAACTCTGAACCTAAACCAACCCTAAACCAAACCTGAACCACGCACAAACCGTCCCTAAACCAGCCCCAAACCCAACCAACCCTAAACCAACCCCAAAGCAACCCTGAACCAGCCCTAAACCAATCCTAAACCAACCCTAAACCAGCCCTAAACCCACCCTAAACCAACCCTAAACCCACCCTAAACCAACCCTAAGCCAACCCTAAACCAACCCTGAACCAACCCTACACCGACCCCAACCCAGCCCTGAACTAACCGCAAACCAATCCTAAACTCACCGCAGCCCGTTTCTGATTGCCGGGCTCACCTGTACGTGATTGCCGGGTTTGGCTGTACGTGATTGCGGCGCAGCCTCCAATAGCTGATTGCAGGGTCCAGTCTTTGATTACCGTTTTACTCCTAACAACAAGACATGCCGGGCGGGGTGGGGTCGACAAGGATGTTGCCTCTCAAACACCTAACAACAAGCATGAACATATCGAAAAGCACATGTGAAGCAGGTGCAACTAAACACTGTGAGCGCTCAATGCTGCAGATCTGCCTTGCTCCTATAGAGTTCGTTATCTTTGCATCACTATGGGCTTGTTTTTTGAGAGGAAGCCCGTGAAAAAGGTGGTGTCTACGGTCGGTTTTTTAGTTCCCTTTTCAACCCCACGCCAAAAAGTGTCCCTCAAAAACGGACAAGCCCATACCTATAATCAACCCATAGTCAACGGCGAAGAAACTAGGACCGAAGCGAGTAAGGAAACTAGGACCGAAGCGAGATGAAAACTAGGACCGAAGCGAGCCAGCAACTAGGACCGAAGCGAACCCGCGCCCGGTGAAAGCTCCAAACAACTCCTTTGCTCTTATTCCAAGTCTCTGTGCCGCCGAAGAAGATGACGGCGCAGGTGGACGACATGGCCGGCAGCACGATGAGCCGGCCGGGGTAGTCGCGGATGAACAGGCCACTCTTGGCGGTGTGCTTCCCTTCTTTGGCCTCCTCTTGGAAGAGGAGGGCCTGCGGGGACGTAAAACGATGTTCTTAAAAATGGGTGGTTGTTTTTGTTTTTGTTTTTTTCTTTTCTGGGGAACCCCTTTGTTGGTTGCTTTTAAAGGGAAACCAAAAGAAGAAAAATATATATTTTGGGGGAGGCGGATTCCTAAAACAGACACGCCCAAATGGCGAAAACAAAAATATGGCTTGAACTTTGAACCACCTCCTGGACAAGACAGGGGGCCAAGGATCCGGCTCCTTTTTTGCGTAAATCCACCGATCGAGCCTCATGCACCGTCATGTGTCCATTGTAGAGGGCCGCGGCGATCCTCATGAACATGTCCTGGAACTCCGAGTCGTAGTCGTAGGGCACCTTGCGCTGCAGCTCGAAGTCTCCGTCCTGCATTGAGCCATCCAACCACTTGAGCAAAGAACCTGCGGGTTTTTCCCTTAGGGAACCCACTGGGGTCGCAAACAAACGCAATGTCATAAAGACGCCTTTCTCTAGGACCCCCCCCTCTCTTTGCGACTCTCACATTAGCACTTTAAAGGGGGAGTCAAAGAGAGATTTCGGCAAGTGGAAATCTTAACACTCAGAGCTAAAATCTCCCGCAAGGGTCCTCCATGAAGAACTTCAGCTTGATCACGCCCAACTCCCAAGTCATGTTCAGCCCGACCATCTCTGAGCATTTCTTCAAGGTCCTGGTGGTCAATAAGGTCATGTTCCATGCACGATGCATCTCCATGGCCGTTTGCATGTTGAAAACGAAGAGCAAGGCATACTCCTGGGCGATTCGGCCGATGCTGAATCCTTGCGAAACCAATCAACTAATTCCAGGATTGATTGAACCTCACTCCGTGTAAAGGCCTTCAAACAGGGCCGAAGCTGGGGGGCATTTTTGCCTAACCATCCCAGCCCTGCCTCATCGAACCTCTCCTTGAGAGAGGTGTAGACCCGGAGCATGTCCGGTGGGAGCTTGTGGGGGTTAAACTTCCGATGGCTGAAACTCACTGACTTTCCTGGGCTGGCCGTTTTCTAATCCCCGGCGAAAAGTGAATAACTTTTAGTGGGCTAAATGGAAACTACCACTCAACTCCAAAAGGCTAAAAGGCTAAAAGGCTAAAAAGCTAAAAAGCTAAGGAACCGGATGGCTGAAACTTACCAAGCTACGAAGGCCATCGTACTGCTCGAGGTGCGCGTGGCTGCAAACTCTGACCACCACGGGCTTCGGCACCACCTCGCCCTTGGGCTCGTCTGCGGCCGCCATGGCGATAGAGGCAATCCGCTTTAGGATCCAGAGCCCCAAGCTTCAGCATTCGCAAAGCTGAAAGAACTACCACTCAATAGAAATCGGACCGGGGACTGCAATTGATCCAGGAAGCTCTTGTGTTGTTGTCTTGCTTTTTGATGTTCTATTAGTTTTTTGGTTATTATGTGCTTGTTGTGCCTCTCTTCTTTATTTTTTTCGGGGGAGGGGGAGATGCCCTGGTGCCCAAACACGTGCCGTGCCGGAAGCCTCTTTAGACTCGGCTCCAAGCCGCGTCCGCGCGGAACGCCGGAACGGCCCATGGCTCATCGTTCTCCACCAGTGCGGGGAGGTGGCTGTGGTGGTGTTCGAAAATCGTTCATGGTCATGGCTCGGAAGGGAAAAGGAAAACTATCTTTCCAAAAAAAAACATTCTGCACTATCAAGCGAAACTGGGCCTTTCATGGCCATGAACCCTTAAAAATGTGTCGTTCAATTGCTTTCTCCTTGCAACAACAAAACAACCACTACCCTCCAAAAAGACACACCCATATGGCTGTGGATGTCAAAACTATGCCCAAAATGGCACCCTGGTAAATGGAAACAATGGCTAAAACCTGTGGTCCCCGGGTGGTCTAATTTTGACCCAACCCATGTTCATCTGCCGCACCCCGACAGCCCTTGCAGCCATAGGTGTCCTTTTGAAGAAAAAATCAATGGGTGTCCCTTTACCTAAACCAGTGCCTTCTATTTTTCACCACGACCTAAAAAGGACACCGATCTGCTTGCGAGCCCCCGAGCCCCGGAGCATGCAGTTGCACTCGCATGCCAGGTTGCCATACCAGACGTACTGATGGCCGAAATCCATTTCGCACCACCTACTAAACCCTGGAATGATGATACCCCTGTAATACCAACGAACCTTCTGGTTTCAATCATTGTTTCAACGTGGTGCGAAATGGATGTCGCAACCAGCCACAGTAGGGAAGGAAGTTCCCCAGTCCCTGCCAAGAAGCCAAGAAGGCTGCACAGACCCACCTCCTAGGGCCGACCCTTCCGCTCCGGCCGAAACCCTTTTTCCGGGCGCTTCTCTGCACCTTCTCCGCGCGGGGCTGACGCGCGGCGCTTGCACGCAGACCAAAGGGAGCTGAGTGATGTGAGCCAGCCGGGCGGCTACTACACGACCGTTGAAACAAGCGAAGTGAACCGAAAACTGTGACATCCTGTGCCATGGGTCAAAATCCCGTACCCCCACTAAAATAGACTAAAATGAGTGGTGCACCTACTCGAAAATGGCACCATTGGTTTTGACCCACGGCCATGTTTCTTTCTGGGATTGTCAACCAGTTGCCCTCGTTGGCCACCGGACCCGTGAAAGAGGGGGGCAACATGAGCTGCAGCAAGCTCCCACACTACTGGCCGGAAACGACCTGCAATTGGCGCGCACAGGTCAATGACCCCCAATATGCCTTCAATAATTACAACCACGCAAGCCGGTGACACTCTTGCAGCGTCATCCAATAACCCAACCGCCCCCTTCGCCCTGCGCAGACGCCTGCATTGAAGCGATCGTGACTGTCACGGAGGTGAACTCGACAGCTCCCGAGCTCCCGCTTGGCGGGAGGCTCCGGAGACGTGACCATTCGATCCTAAGTCACGTGTCCACTTTCTCCCTCACGGGTCCAGAAGCCTGCAGGCGAAAGCGGCGAAAGCGGCGCGGAAGCCTTAGCCCGCCTTAAGAAGGCACCGGGGAGGCTTCTGACGACGGATTTCCCGGTGGCCGACACCTAAATTTGGGTCGCCCGGGATGCGACACTTGCAACTGTCCGGAGAAAAAAAAAGGCAAGCGAAAGGAACCTTCGTTTGAGGCACCACTCAGAAGCTCCCTGCTCGTGATTCACAAGCCGTTTCGATTCCCCTCCCCGCCCCCCGCAGCACAGAACTGGTCTTCAAATCGCAACTCCGCTGGGCACAACTGCACTGCGGATGGACCAAATCCTACACCCTGTTGGAATCCATGGTGGAAACCACAAAGTTTGCTGGCATCCGCGTCGAAAAATCGAATCCTTCCAGGGTTTCGGGTCCGTTTTACGTGCCCCGGTCAGCCCTGCCCCGCGCCTGGCGTGGTGGGCAGCCACGTTCCGCGTGTCTAAGGAGATGCCGGAGCCTCGCAACTCACTTCCCAAGTTGACTGGCCAAAAAAAGTCCACTAAAATTGTCTTTCCAAAAAGTTGAAAGTCCATCAACTCAGGAAGTGAGGCAAACTCAAAAGCCCTGGCTCGGAACTTGGAACCCTCAAGGAGCTACAGGTAGGCTAGGTCCTCCACTAGAGAGGCTAGAATAAGGGTACCAACTTTTTTTCTGTAGTCTGTATACCCCGCGAAAACCACAGCGGCCTGAGAAACCTGCAGAACAGCTTCGCTTCCCTTGCCCTCCAAGGGGGGACCACAGTCCAAGCCCTGCGGAAGACCTGACTTTACAATCCAAACACACCAGATCCATCATCTATCAAGCAAGTCCCCCCAAAAGCCATGATAAAGAATCAAAGGCCGGATGATAGACTGTCCAGGTGGTGCCCCCAATCACGGGAGCCAGCCTGTGAGCATCAGGGCGTTGTCGGAGACTGTGGAGGTCTGGCAAGCGGGTGCTAGAGACCCTTGGGTTTTGGTTCCCTTTTGATCCGTGACCTGAAAAAACCAATCGATGCTCAAAAATTAGGGTCTGCCTTGTCCGATTGGTTGTCGCGTTTAGTCTGCCTTTGGACATATCCTAAGTTTTCTCGTGCCTGCGCCCTTTCGACTGCTTTTGCCCCTTTGGTGTTCTTGCGGTTCTGCGCGGAAGCAACCAAATGCTTCGCCGGCTTGCAGCTTCACGTTCTCGCGGCGGGTCCCGCATCCGCGGAAAAAAAGTACCCCCGGAGCATCAGATCAGAGGCTCCAAACATCAGAAGAAGAAAACGAAAGTAAAGGGCAGACCTGACCAAGAGAAGGAACGTCTCTCTCTCTCGAGGGGGGTCCGGCCGGGGGGGGGAACTCCGGGAACTCTGAGATATCAACACTCCGTGAGGTGCATAAGTAGCAAAGGTGCAAGCTTCAGGGGGCACAAACAACCTGAGATTACATCACCCTCTCGGGTCTAGTGTGCCACAACAAGCATACGCTGCTGGCCGGATGGGAATGTGTTAAATTGCGAAACCCCCAATACGCAAACTTGTGGTTTCCGGTTGGCTTCCCTTTCAAAGTGCAAAAGGTTACCCGGGGTTAGTCTTAAGTCGCGAGGGTTGTCCACGGTAACGTTGACCCCAGATCAATCAATCCTAGTTTATTCGCTTTTCAAAATGTTCCCACCAAAAGCAATCTGATTCCCCTACTAGGGACTACCCCCTATTTAAAAAAAAACTGGGGCTGATTAAAAGGGGTCAACATTAGTAAGGATCCAGCATGACCATAGGCCATATGACGAGTTTTGACCATGGCTCAGTTGAGCTGTATTTTGTTTTGGGTAACCTTTTTGAAAGGGAAGCCAACAGGGTACCACCAGTTTGCGTGTTGGGGGTTTTGCAATGCAACACGCTTGGTTCAAGATGCCTTACAATACCAGGGTGGAGGACCCTCGCGACTAGCCCCAAAGGAACCGCACACCCGGCTTGCGCCCCTGAAGCGCGCCCAAGCCGCGAAGGAGGCCGCCGCCTCTCGCGGCTTCAGCGCCTCAGCCGCCCAAGAGACAGCCAGTTTCTTCTAGTCCGCGGAAATGAGAAAAATGAAACCATAGAAGAGGCCATAGAGGAGTCATAGATGAGTCATAGAAGAGTCCATGGAAGAGTCATAGATGAGTCGTAGAAGAGCCCAGAGAGGGGAGATAGATGAGTCATAAAAGAGTCCAAAGAAGAGGCATAGATCAGTTATAGAGAGTCCATAGATGAGTCGTAGATGAGTCATAGATCAAAACCCTGGCATTAGAATTGGCAGAAGCATTTAAGGAAGTAACCAGGCGGCGAAAGCACCCGTTTATGGTGATTATCCCTTGCTAACCTTCATCCACTCAGGCTTTGATTGTGGCTCATATTGGGGATCTCCGGACAACCCTCCTTGTCAGTTTCAAGGGAAGCGGTCCAAACATCGCTGTACCTAAAGGCACCTCACCTAAAGCAGGCAACCGACCAGCGGTTGGATTCATACACCCCCGAAGATTTGATCGGGGGTCCAGCCCTTTCGTGGCCTTCACTCTTGAGGGTGACACCCCCCTAGTGCAAGGATTTGCTTATTCATCATGAAAGAGAAGCATCGAAACTGGGAGGAACAATTGTCCAGCTCCATCATGCTTCGGGGACGCGCTTGGATGGCAACCTCCTTTTTGCACAAGATTCCTGCTTGACAAAGCGCTCAAGCTTGCCAGCCGAAACCAACCCAGGGACCCACCACCCCAACCCAAAACCAAACTCAACAGCCCAAACGCCAAACCAAAACCGCCCAACCAAACCAAGAACCCGAATGCGCCTACCGGACCGCCTCGAACCCCGGCCTCCTCCAACTCGACCAACCTCCTTTCATCCTGGCGTGTGACAGGCAATGCCGGGGCTGAGCGCGCAGACGCGCGCAAAAGCTGACAGGCAGAGCGGATCTTGAAATGGCTGTGGGTCAAAACCATTGGGATCCCATTTTGGGGTAGGTGCACGACCCATTTTAGTCTATTTTAGTGGGGATTGCGATGTGCACTGAGGGTACGGGATTTTGACCCATCGCCAAATTGCCACGCTGCTTCCCGTGCCACATCTCACACACCTCACGCGAACTGCTTCCCATCTGGCCGCCAACGGCACTTTCACACCTTCTCACAGGCAAAGAGCTTGATGTCTTCCATTGTTTTGCTTGACCTCCCATATGGCCATGGGTCAAAATCCCGTACCCCATCCCAATCCCCACTAAAATAGACTAAATTGGGTGGTGCACCTACCCCAAAATGGTACCATTGGTTTTGACCCACGGCCATATGAATGTCTGTGTCTGCCTGGCTTGCCTTCGCAACTTTCGACGCCCCATCCCCAATGCATCGTGCGATTCACTGGAGGCCACCTCGCCAAAGAGTAGGGAGCTGCGCGACAAGCCGAGAATCGGAGCTTCCTAACGGCCAGATTGGGAGGAGCGATCTTCCAGCCTCCTGCCAGCCAATTAACTTCAAGGATTACCCAACCACCTGGCCGACCTTAACACCTTGAGCCTCAAGTGCCCCATCCACCTCTGCGATCGGAACCTCCCTGCCTCCAGTGAGAGCGTCTGGCGGAACATGTCCTGCAAGCCGCGGGATCCCGGCGGCTTCACGGCGGTTCAACCGGAAAGTTGCAGCCAGGCCATGCTTGAAGGGGGATTCCACAAAGGGACCGGTAGGATGGGTAGGGTGACCGCGGGGCAGAGCAGGGTGACCGTCTTTTCGCCATGTAAGGCAAAAAGAGGAAAACCACCGCTGAACCCAGCGAAGAGACACATCCCATCGCTTTCCAAAGTGATATGGGAATGTGTGTGTGTGTGTTTGTTTTAAAAAGATATCTGTGGTCCCCTTGTTGGTTGATGAAAATCGAACCAACAGGAGACCAGCCACTTTTGGGGGGTCCAACCTGAGGACGAGCTACCCGTATCCTGGCATGGCTCCACAACCAAATCGAGTCCCAGGCCTCCCGCAAGTCAACCTCCATCCCCGCAAATCGGGCAAATCCACAATTCTCGCGGGATTTCCCCTCCACAAGTGGGCAGAGTACCACCCTATGAGACCTCCAGCACAGGACAAGCGCGAATGGCATCTCTCTGGTGGGCTCCTTGAAGCCGGGATCCCTGGCCACGTAGTAGCGGAAGAGGCCCAGGTTGTGCTCCAGCCAGTAAATCACCGCGGGGCTGGGCCCGTACCTCGCGCCCCCCTGAGGTCCCCCGAAAAACGCGGGCGAAACCCACCGGAGGGAGCCGAAACGCAATGCGGTGGAGCGGGTGACAAACTCAACCCCAATCCGGAATACCCCGAGAACGAACTTGAGCGCGGCAAGCCGCGTCAGTTCCTCACGCCATGTACTGCAAATATTCGCCCATGGCCAGAGTTCATGAGTGCACCACTCTCTGTACACCTTGATTGGCTCAGCCCCCGAAGGTGTGCCGGGCAACTTGAGGTGCGGAGAACTAATCCTGGCCAAGCCTCTCCCTCTCGCGCATCAGGAGCATGACCAGCTCCACAATCTCCGGCTGCTTTATGGACCCCGTCTCCTGAGGAACCAGAACACCTTGCGTGCGTCTTTTGGCGAACTGTTTGATTCACGAAGGTCAGCCATGCAGGCTAGCAAAAGCAAGGAACTTGGCTGCTTGCGTCGCAGAAAGCACTTTGCCATGGGCAGAAAGAGCATAAAATGCATGTAAGGAGCGCAAACAAAGCTGTGCTTGCACCGTTGGTGTCGATGTGTGATCGGTTCTGTCCGACGTCCCTATCTGCGCTGACGAGATATGGTCAATCAGGAAATGAGGGGGATCGCTACTCCCAATCCACAGTTCGCGGGACACGACAACCATCTGGCAGGATCTTGCGGATTGATTTCAAAAACACGGCAAAGAGATGCCCGGACGCTCATTTGTCTTAGGGACAACGTATGCATACATATCTGCATCTATATCTCTAAACCTCTTGATCTCTATCTATCTCTATCTCTATCTCTATGTACCTATATCTCCATATATAGATATCATGCCTTACACCCACCACCAAAACAAAAACTCGGGCTGTCGATCGCAGGCTTCTGGTGTGGAGCGCAGCTTCGGGCCGAGGCGCCAGGCCCACCGTGAGCACCGTCACCAGCTGGCGCTGCCGCTCCTCGAAAGATTTGTGTCGCCGAGCGGGACGAGAAGGTGGGTGCCAAGGTGCCGCTGAAAAGGAGAATCTCTTCCACCCCCCTAAGATTTCGGGGGGCCTGGCAATAGAAGGCGTGTTTCTTTTTGCCTTTTTGTTTGTTTGTTCTTTTTTTGGGGGGGAGGGGATTCTTCGTTGGCTCGAGTCCATATTTGGAATTTGGTCCACGCATGAAACATGTTCCCTTCGCACCCCAAATTAAAATGAAAAGCAAATGTTCCATTCTGGGAGGTCAAAATTGACACAGACCCACTTGGATGTTCAAGCCACATCACGCATCTGGGAACGCCATGGAAGAGAAAAATCCCAGTCGCCCCAGTCATTAGCATAGTTATAACCAAATGTTGACCGTGGATTGATCAACTCGTGAATTGTTGGGTGTCAATTAGGCAGGGTGTATCAAACCCGTCTGCAATCGCTCGATCCCTTGGTTGTCCTTTCAGTGTCCTTTTGGCTTCTCTTCAAACATCCACATCCCCAACCAATGGATGTGTGTGACTCCGATCGCTTCGGCGTCTGGGAACTGCCTAGTTGACAAGTCCGGGGATCCTTCTTGGGTCCTACCTTGTATGAACATACCCAGCCCAACATCCCAAAACCGCGCGACTCGGAGGTTGATCTCTCCTGCATGAGCGCCGGCGAGTTGTCCGCCTTCTGTCGCCAGCTCTCCAAGAGTCCCAGCACCTCGTGGCTGAGCTGGGGGCCACGTCCAATTGCTTCGGACTAAGCAGTCCCCATTTGGCCATGGGTCAAAATCCAAATCGTACCACCCAGTGAACATCCCAATCCCCACTAAAATAGACTAAAATGGGTGGTGCACCAACCCCAACATGGTACCATTGGTTTTGACCTGCGAGGTGCCAACAAAAAAGACACTAAAGCCAGGGATCTGCCGTGAACAGTAGGCTTGACATAGCAATCCGATTTGCACACAAAAAGAAGAAGAAGAAAAACCAAAAAACAAAAAAGAAGAAGAAGAACAAAAAGAGGGGAAAAAAACGCGCCAAAGCCAGGGATCTGCCGTGAACAGTAGGCTTGATGTATTAATCCGAGGTGCCAAAAAACGCACCAAAGCCAGGGATGGCCGGTCTGCTTAGCTACATTTCTGCCTCGTCGAACCATCTGCAATCCGGCTCACAAAGGCCGCCCTGACAAAATGCAGGCAAGCTGAATCTGCACTTGCTTGGACGGTTGCCTTGGGGCAACTTATGTGGTTTTCGAGGGGACCCTTTCCGTGGCAAACTACAAGGGTGTCAGACCCTTATTGGTGGCCATCTTTCCAAAAATGAAGGCATCTTCATATTTTGATTCCGTGAGCCTTGGAAAAGGCTTGACTGGGAGTGAAAATTATTTGAGTTGAACCGGCCATTTGTCGGTCCCAGGGACATCAAGAGGAAAACCGGCCTGTCACGCCCAAATCCCCCAAACCCTGGCCGGGGCCCCCGGCGCCCTTGCCAAAGCTGCTCGTCGCCCTCCCGCCCGACCTAAGAAGACACACCATCTGGCGCCGCCAAAAAAAAAGGGGGTCAGGCGCGCGCGTGGAGAAAGCGAAGACTTGCGAAAGCAAGTCAGGAGGCTGATCTCACAAAACATTGGACGCGACTGCAGTTCTGGCAAGCTGCACGCGCTGCCAAGACTTCTGGGAATGACTATCTTGCCCAAATGAGCCGGAAATTCCAGGCTCAGGTTTTGGTGCACCAAATCAACGAAACCAAAAGGTAAAAAGATCAGCTTTGGGCAAGGGCTCTTTGAAGAGTCTAGCGCCTGAATCAAGGGAACTCCTCACCCTCCCAGCAAACTGGGTCCACGACAGGGAACTTCTGCGAATGAAGTACCATTGCAGCATACCCCCTACCAAGTCCATGGTCGGGCTGTTCAGATACACGCCCATGACGCAGAGGAAGTATACCTAGGCCAAGGGAACAACCTTCGCTTTCTGAGCGCGGAAGCCGCGCAACCGTCATGCACAAAGGCAGCGGTTCGAAAGTGCGAGTCACGTTTGAGAGTCCCCAGACCATCCAACCACGCTGATCAAGAACGCTTCCAGGTGCCTCTGCGTGCATCTTGGTCGGCCAGGAATTCCCGGGAAGCGAAGCCTATGCCATGTTCTCAGTGGAATGTGTATTTGCACTCTAACCTTCCATCCAACATGCCACACACACATATATATATATAGTCTTCAAAGCTATTGAGCCCGTTGGCCGTTGGTCCGCGCGCCTGCGAAGCGCGTTCAGAACTTCATTCCGAAAAAGGAAGAAGGAATGGAGCAAACCACGTGGACTGCCACTGACTGCCACCACAACCCTGGTCACAAGTCCCACCGATTCTGCTTCGAGTTTCTGTTGACCCGGTGAGGCCACGCATAAAGACCTCAACGGTGCAAACACGTGAGTTTCAAGTTCCCACTGCCTCGCTGCCAAAATGTATGACACCGGATGTTCAATGTACTTCGCATCGCCCCACACCAGGTAGCCTGCCCGGCAAAGACACGCAATATGGGCAGCAAAGTGCTCTCAGCATGGAGCTGGCCATGGATAGATTGAAGGGTCCTAACCACAACTAAGCCCGCCCCTTGCCCCTCCCAGAGCCCAAAGAGAAAGAGACCCAGACGAAGTGCCCACCCAAATATTCTTCTTCTTTTGGCTGGCAAGGCGGACACACTAAAGCCATCTTAAAGGTTTTTCGGCATTGGTAGAAAGGATGAGGGGTTGCTCAACCCAAAAAAACCTCTGGTGCTCGCCGTGCAGCTCCTCGAGAGGCTCCGGCCATAGGGGTCCTTCTTAGAAAATAGATGGCCCTGGTAGCTGACTGAACCAGGTAATGTTGACCCAGGAATAATACACCCGTCCCATTTGTTAGGGGGGTGTTCCCTCCAAAGTGATGAATCCCCACTAAAAGGGGACACCCCCCTATTATTCAACCAGGGGTTTATTAATCCGGGGTTAACATTAAACCAGGGCACTCGATTTTTGCTTAACCAAACCCACCAAAAGGGACACCTATGCGGATTAAATTCAAAGAGAAAAAACAAAAAACGGCCTGTAATCATATTCACCACCAGCTGCGAGGAAAGCTGCAGCGGCACGAAAATCGCCACGTCGCCTGAGAACGAAATCCCGCCACACCTGACACTCAGAGGCCCCCCCCCCCCGACATCTGATCCGGCTGCACCAAAAGCCCTGCAAATAAGTAAATCCCCACAAGCCGAACAGGTCGGGCTTCGCTTTTTCCTGATTGAGGCCCAAAAATGCAGGCCCAAACTGGCCCAAGCAGGGGAGGGGTCATTTAAGCGAAGGTGCTTTAAATTTCTCCCACGCGAAACACACTAAAATGAGCTCCTTGTTGGGAGGTAGGTGAACAACTTCTGACTTCGCACACACTTACCAGGTGAAATGGTCCCTGCCCTCAAACACACTAAAACTCATTTTGATGCGTCGAACTTTCCGTCCATTGCAGAAAGCCGAGCCACACTGGGCATTTGCCATGACGGTGCCCGCCATGCACAGCACGCCGTCCAAGAAATACACAGTGAAAGCCTCGGCTTGGGTCCGTTCGGGTGGGGTGTGGTGTTGCACACGTCTCAAAGGCAACCTTCGAACGCCCCAGTCCGGGCGCATTGCATTGCACGGCAACCCACAACTCTGGCCTGACAAACCTGTTTGGACTCGACTTGTCACAGCCACGAGTCTTTGGCTCCCGGTTTTTCAATTTTTCGGGCACCGACATGCACCGAAGGCCGGGCACTGGGTGCCGGGCCAGAGCGAGTGCCGGGCCCTTCACCAGCCCAAAGAGCTTGCCGATCGAGGCTCCGACCCTGGCGGTCGAGCAGCAACTGGCGGAAAGCGCCGAGTTTGAGGAGCTGCGACCCAGAACTCGGTTGAGGTTGGAAGGGGAGCAAAAATTCGAACTTTAGCAGTTAAGTGGGGATTTCCCACTAAACCACAAAAAGCAAACACATGCCCCCTGGAAACATCAGCCCTTGCTACCAAGGGAAACTCGCCTCAAAAGGGCGAGAAACAAGCGCCACTTAGCACCACCTAAGGGGATTTCTGGGGACCCCTTGCGGCTGCCCTGCGACAGGGCACACAGTCGTAAAGGTCACCATGGACGCGTAGAGCGTCAGCTTCACCGGGGAGTCCATCTCAAGATGCATTGTCCTGACCCGCGGAGTCGCGGAGTCGCACACTCTACGCAGAGCGGGTGTGACTCTGCCTCGTTTGCCTGCCTGGTTTGGGGTATGCCCTTGGTCTGGTTCACCAATTCAACACGGAGTCTTTAGTGGATCCTGTCATAGGCATCCAGAGAAAACCTCGCGGAATCATCTTTCCCCCGACTCGGCCGGCGCGCCCCCATGGTGCTGAGGCCGGCTCTTGAACATTCCGTAGAGGGACACAAAGGCCAAGATCACCATGACCATGGCCCAGGTGATGGCCACCTCGGAGAGTGAGAAGAGGTCGCGCAACCCGCAAGCTAAACAAAAACAAAAACAAACGTTGGTTTCCCCATTTGGAGTTTGTTGTTTTTGTTGTTGGTGAGGGGGGGGAAGGGGGGGTGAAGGGGTGGGCGGGGTGGGGGAGTTTGGAGGGGGGGGTGGTCAAGGGTCATTCTTTTTCTTGGCATCCCCTCTTTCTTGCACCCACTTTCTCCCTGGTGGCAAGGTCTCCCCCGAGGCATTCGCCGGGTGCGTCAGCAGCTCTTCCACTGGCAGGTCCGGAGGCTCCTCTTCCGCCGGGTTTTGTGCGGAGCTGGTGAAAAAAAAAATCCGACGCCAAAATCCACCTCTGCAAGGTTTTAGTTGCTTTTCTTTTTTTCCCTCTCCCTCTCCGGGGCGGGCTGGAGAAAAAAAAAACTCCCAGAAAAAGCTTCACCTGCTCCGTTGTCCTGGGCACTCTTCGCGAAGTCTTTTCACTCGAGTGGCTTCCGATCTCGCGGCTTACTCGAGAAATAACTTGTCTCTGGGCCTTAGGGTTTGGTCAGACGAAGGCAAAATCCGGCCGGCCGACTTCGTGGACCCCTTGGTAAACCAGCTAGTTTTCCAGTAAATCTCCTTTCGAGTTGGTAGGTTCCTAAAGGCAACCGAAGGCCATTCTAGGCTCTGGTTCCTATGCTGACACAAGCCCATTGGTCAAAGGTCCCCCCCCCCCAAAAAAAAAAAAAAAAAAACACTTTCCAGGAAACCAATAGGAACATCAGCATTCTTAGGAGGCCCGACTCCTTTTGACGCAAACCCAGATACATCTTTTTCGGACGGCAGACACCTCCGGATCGCTCCTGGGGCCCGATCTCTGAAAGCTCCGCCACCGCGCAGATCCTCAATTGGTTTGGAGATCCTAGAGCTCCAAACCACGACTTCAGGGAAAACCCTGACTAACGGCAGTGAACTTGGGAAAAGGGGGTTGTCACCCACACAAGTGAAGGGATTCCCACTCAAAGGCGGGGGCATTTCCCCCAATGAAATCGACCGAGGGGTTCCCTGCAGCCAAAGCACAGGACGATGGTCCCGACGCGCATGCTCCTTGGTGCGGGACCCGTTACGCGACCGTGCAATGAGAATGGGTTGGTCTCCAAAGAATGGGCACTCTAATGGGTTGCTAGGGAAACCCGGGTGGGGCAAAACGAAACCGCCGGGGGACCGCAGGTTTGAGGCCATGTTTACATTTACCCGGGTTCCCATTTCAGGATCTATGTTTGACCCACATCCTGAAAAGGACACTTCTGCGAACCCCTGCCATGGCATGAGCTGCCCAGCCAAGCCCAGCCGAGTCTTGCCAGCCAGGTCGCTTGTCGTAGAACTTCAGGCCCAGCATGCTCTGCCAGAACATGTTCCCCAGCAGGTTGGCGCCCGTCTGCACTGGCATCACCTTTCGAGATCGTCAGCTTCCCGCTTCCCTCCAACTTGTGGTTTTCTAGGGGTACCTGCCATTTCCATTCTTGCCTGGCATTCTTCTTTCCACAAAAACCACGCAAATCCCTGGGGAAACAGCTGGTGTTTGACAAGAACGATGGTTGAAAAGAATGGGGAGTCAACCCCTAGAGGCTTGGATGGAGGAAGGGTCTCCCATCTACCCTCTACAAGAACCAGAGGACCCAAACCACCAATCCCAACCACCAATAAACAAAAAATAAAGATGGCACGCGCTAGTCTCCAGTTGTCGTTTTGGCCGTCCTGCCAGATACTGTTTAATTCTCGAGAACCAAGCCACTTGCTCAAAAGGGTCACCCGCATGAAACATCCGCATCCCAAAGAAAGCCATCTCTGAGGGGTTGGTTCCCTAGGGTTTTTTCAACCATCAATATCTTCCATACCCCGCGTGCCCCGCCGTCGCCACCGCCCCGCCCAGGGCGGTCGAGGCCGCAAACATGGCGATGCCTCACGGCCACGAAGGCGACATCCGCGGATTTCGCGGAGTTCAATGCCGGGGTCTTGGTTGCGGGAACGACCCCCCAGCAAAAAGTGAACAACTTTTGGGGGGTTTAGTGAAAAACCCCACTTGATTTCAACCAAAAAGTGAAAACCTAAAGATCCAACCTAATAGCATCTGCCGGAGTGGGGGGGTTGCTTCGCCCCAAAAAAGCAAAGGATGCCAGATTCTCTCAAATGAATGCACGCCCCTACCTTCCCCCAAAAAAAGCGAAGGATTCCAGATTCTACTACTTCATCAAAGAGGATTGGTTGGTTGTCAATCATGGGTCGCGCGTTGTAGGCCATGGTCATTGGCATGTTGCACCTTCGTTTCAGGTCCAAATCCACAGATCCATGGCAGCCATAGGAAAAAATGTGACCATGGAGAAGCCACCTGGGTTGCTTCGAGAAAGTGCGCAAGTTGCCAAGAATTTGCATCGTGCAAGTCGTAAGGGGATGATCACCCAACTGTAGCGTTGCCATCCGGAAGCCCGGAAGCTGCTCCGAGCCAATTCAGAGGGAAGGATGTGCCAGGCCATGCTGTGGCACTTGAGATTCTCCAATAAAGCGATACTCCCGCATAAGTGCTTGATCAACCTCACCACCAAGCCTGCGACTGGCAACCCACTCTTCCCGCCAGCCAATTGAATGGGGACCTCTGAATCTTTTCTGCTCCTCTCTTGCGCGACCGCCGAAGCCGCGGAAGCCATCCAGTGCCTGAGACGTTGAGCAACGTGCAGGCCACCACGAATCCGGCGCTTTGAACCCGGGTCCATGCCTGCGGCCGATGCGCATGAAAGTGCCATCCGTCCGATTTTTTGCGATCGCTTGGCGCTCGGGTGTAACAAGGGCCTGGGGGAAACAAAGAGGGACATGTCCAAAACTCCTTTGAGGAAGTTCAACCTGATTTCAGGGCGCCTATCCTTTTTCATTTCAGCATGGCTTGCATGATGGCGCTCTTCTGACAGCTTGCTTGTGCTCCAAAAGAACCGTGAAGACTCACGGGCCAAGCCACAGGGTCAACACCAGAATGGTATACAAGCAACACACAGGCGAAACCAAATCTCCAACCTTCCTCCCTCTCACGAATTATTTTCGCCCTTCCCGGTGACCTCCCTCCTCCTTGCTTCCGCCCGCCTGCCCGCGTCGTTGCTGGTGGGCGGACCAGGCCAAGACGTTCGCGCCGGAGGCAGAGAGGAAGCCCCCGCAGCCCGCCAACCCCAGGAAGACTGAGGTTGGCAGGCCCTGGGGCGCCTGACGTGCGCGGAACCCCCTTCCCGCTTCCCCGTTTGTTTGCCTACCAGTCGCCCCCATCCACCGGCCCGAAGTGAACAGAAAAACAAAACACTTAAGGTAAGACAAGAGCACGCGAGGGCCGCGAAGGCATGATTGTCTCAACAAGTGTCTACGCAAGGTCTTGATGCAAGTTTCTCTGCACAAGTTCTCGGTACAAGAAAGTTTCTTCGCGCAAGCATTCTGCGCAAGAACCACAAGACAGCTTCTGAAGACTCCGTGAGCGCAAGAGAATCATGCGGGCTTTTGCACATTGACCATGCCGACCAGGTGCTCCGGTTCCACAGTAATGTGCATGTCTCTGTGACATCTCAACGCGATCTCTCCGCAATCTCTGTGTATATTATCCGTGCACTCAGCAGATCAGACCAAGTCTTCTGGGCAAATTAAGTTTCGGGGAAAATGGTTCACTGCCACATGTTTTGTCCAGCAGATCCAGCTTGGAAATCCGCCTAAGGGGGGGCGGACCACACCATCCACCAGGGCACTAAGCACTGCTGTCCAGCGAAATACAAACAGCTGTTTCCCCGTCGCAGGATCGAAAATCCAAGAGGGATGCAGGTTGCAAAACCGTGGCCTGCCACATCCCAACAAATGCACAACATGCCCTCCACCAGCTAACGCGGAATATGACATAACTTTTTCCCACCAGAAAAATCCTTTTCAAAGCCCCCCCCCAAACCCCCCCCCCCACCGGCAGGATCCATGGCATTCCCATGGGTAGTACTCACAGCCGGGACTTCTCACATGCCTCCAGTGTCCCGGAGCCCATTGCGCGCTTTCCCCCAGACTCGGGCCAAACGCTGGCGTCGCGCGGCGTCGGGCCCTCATTGCTTCCCGGCCGGCCCGAGGAGAGCCTTGGCGCCTGGTCACCTCTGGCCAAGTTCTCTCCTTCCTTCGAAAAGTCCATGTAGAAAAAATAGCTCGAAATTCACTCACCCACTGTGGTCCGGCCGACCTGTTCAAACAACCTCCCTTCCGGCGAGCTCTCTGAAATCCGCCTCGCCGAAGGGATAACAAAGGCGAATCCCCCAGCCACAAACCCAGAGGGTCACCTGCAGAATGGCCAGGGGAGCCAAATATGGGGGTGCCGTTTTTGCGGGGACCCCCACAGCGGTTGGCTCCCTTGTGGCCTTGTGGCACCACTCGCCACCGGGCGCAGAACAAAACGGGACATGTTGGACGCATTCAATGACGATCCGAATTCAGGTGAAACGTTGCCCGCACCTGCGCAGACCAACCCGAACTGCGCGCTGTCGGGCTTGCAGGCCTTCCTTTCGGCTGAGGAACGGCCGGTATTCATGTTGACCACGGATTCATAAACCCGTCCTGTTCTTAGGGGGCGATTCCCTCAAGTGGTCTAAATCCCCAACTTTTGGTGGGGACACCGGGGCCCATCTCCCAAAAACAACCGGGGGTTCTGCTTTTCTGAGGTCAACAGAGGCTTTTCAGGTGCTGCAGCAGCAAGCTGCACAGCAGCCGGAAGTCCAGTTCCCCCACCTCCCGCGAGACACACTCCGTCCGCAGGGCAACAAGCAACCTGTGGCACACGCTCGCGTCCTGCGAGCGGCTTGCCCGGGCGCAGGTGCGGCGTGCCCGGGCAAACGAGTGGCTAGGGTGAAGGTGTAACTTGGCCCTTTCGCCAGGAATCGGTGGTGTGTTTGTGCGTGTCGCCTGGTGTCCCATGAACCCTCTACAAGAACCAGAAATTCAAATCCAAATCCAAGCCACCACAACCAGTAGCTAGGGTAAACCAAACAAGTTTCGAACAAAGAACTTTTATTCTTGGTAGGGGCTCGTCGCCTTCCTTTGTCTATTGGACCCAGATCCCTCTGCAAACTTGCCTGACAAGGGCCTCTCCCGCACCATCACCCGTCCGCAACCGACTTGCACAAACGAAGCTGCAAAGCTGGAAAGCAAAAAGGCGACCAACACCCCAACCCCGAGCACGCAAGAACAGGTCCTCCAGGCCAGGGCTCTCTGGGATCTCCCGCATCAGCAGGCCCACCACCACTGGGTCTCCGAAGACCAGGCCCAGGTCCTGCGACTGGCACTAGGGGCTGAACAATTGGAATGGGGTTCTGGGGGTAACCCGTAGGTTGTTTGGATTGGTGGTTTGGGCACTTGCACCCAAACCACCAATCGAAGCTGAGTTCTGGGGTGGTAGACTTGTAATTTTGCCCCCTTTTGTTCTAACCGTCGGGTGAGTTGTGTTCCCGAAAAAGCGCCTCTGCAAGGAGCTGGACCCTCTATTTGTTGCCAAGAACGTCTTAGGCCCCAAACGTGCGACAAAAAACCGACCCCGTCCCAAAACCAACTCAAGATCGCCCCCATGTAAGCCCGGCAACCCGGGAGGCAAATTAGTGTCCTTCTGGAAAGAACCAGAACTTCATTTGGCTCTGTGTCCAGATTCGCCCTGCATAGCTGGCCTTTTGGAAATCGATGGGTGTCCCTGGTAAATGGTACAAACCCCATCTAAGCCAGGAATCACCCTCTATCTTTAAGGAAAGCAACCAAAAAGGACTATGGCCCTGCGGTATTTCTGTCGCCCGTCCACCTTGGGCAACATGGCCTCTCTGTGGTAACCTGCGAAAAGCATTCCCGTCCCCGCAGCTTCTTTTGCCACTTGGTGCCAGGTCGTCCCGGTGTCCCAGCCTTGCCACCACTCTCTTACACGCCCAAAATGACCCACGGTGCGTGCCAGGTCCGCCCAGCCGTTTCCTTTCTTCCATTCGCTTAAGCCCCCTGGAAAAAACAAAATATGTCCAGTAGTCATAGATTCCCTTTAAAACCAACAGGGTCCAAAAAACTAGAGGACGATTGGCCCGAAAGCATTTTTCCCCAGGTGCTCATCCAGCCGCGGAGACACCTTTTTACATCGCTGCGGCGAGCGTGTCCGCGCGCGGCGATGCTCAATGCGTATGGTCACATGAGAGCTCCATCTCATCGTCCTACGAGAGGAAACATGGCAGTGCTCGATCCCACATATTTACATCCGTTAAAACAAGAAGAGTAAAGCTCGTAAAGCTCGAAACGGATTACAAGCAAAAGGAAGAGCAATCAATAGCAAAGCTTACACGACGGCCACAGTTTCTGCAAAGCACGCTCGCGCAACTTAGCTCTGTGCAAGATGCCTCTGCGCAGCTTGGCTCTGTGAAAGTTGGGTCTACGCAAGCTACTTTTCGCGAGTGGCTCTGCGCAACTGGCTCTGTGCAAGTTGGCTCTGCGCGAGTCTGCTCGGCGCAATGTGCGTTGCACGAACTGCGCCGTGCGATTTCTCACGAAAGTGGTCTGCGCAAGCTGCATCGTTCCAGGCTGCTGCGCGCAAGTTCCTCTCTGCAAGCTGCTGCACGCAAGCGCTCTATGCAAGTTGCTCTGCGCAAGTGCTCTGAGCAAGTTGCTCTGCGCCAGTTGCTCCGTGCAAGCGCTTTGCGCATGTGCTCTGTGCAAGTTGGTCTGTGCAAGTTGCTCTCCGCAAGTGCTTTGTGCAAGTGCTCTGTGCAAGTTGCTCTGCGCAAGTTGCTCTGCGCAAGTTGCTCTGAGCAAGTGCTGCCGGAGCTGTGGGAATGTACTTCGCGTACTATTTTTTGTACTTAAAAGTTGTGATTTTCCAGCCGGAGCTGCTGCTCCGCGTACTACGTTTGTACTTAAAAGTTGCGATTTTCCAGCCGGAGCTGCGGGAGCACGCTCCGCATACTACGTCTGTACTTAAAAGTTGCGATTTTCCAGCCGGAGCTGCAGGAGCACGCTCCGCGTACTACGTTTGTACTTAAAAGCTGCGATTTTCAAGCCGGAGCTGCCGCGGACCAGGGGGGAATCGAACCCGGGACCGCGGGATTGCGAAAGCAGGCGCGCACACCACGAGACAACTTCCAAAAGCCGTTTCGCGAGCAAGAAAATCGCACGGCGCCACAGCGAGAGACACGTTTCGCAGAGGGAGCTCAAGACAAATCGCACGGCGCCACAGCGAGAGCGCTTCGACACGCACGATCTCCGCAGAGGGTTCGCCAAGGTCAAGACAAATTCGCACGGCGCCACAGCGAGAGCGCTTCGACACGCACGATCTCCGCAGAGGGTTCGCCGGTCAAGACAAATTCGCACGGCGCCACAGCGAGAGCGCTTCGACACGCACGATCTCCGCAGAGGGTTCGCCAAGGTCAAGACAAATTCGCACGGCGCCACAGCGAGAGCGCTTCGACACGCACGATCTCCGCAGAGGGTTCGCCGCGCTCAAGACAAATTCGCACGGCGCCACAGCGAGAGCGCTTCGACACGCACGATCTCCGCAGAGGGTTCGCCAAGGTCAAGACAAATTCGCACGGCGCCACAGCGAGAGCGCTTCGACACGCACGATCTCCGCAGAGGGTTCGCCGCGCTCAAGACAAATTCGCACGGCGCCACAGCGAGAGCGCTTCGACACGCACGATCTCCGCAGAGGGTTCATCGGGCTCAAGACAAATTCGCACGGCGCCACAGCGAGAGCGCTTCGACACGCACGATCTCCGCAGAGGGTTCGCCGGCTCAAGACAAATTCGCACGGCGCCACAGCGAGAGCGCTTCGACACGCACGATCTCCGCAGAGGGGTGCGTTTCGTAAGCTCCTGTCGGGCCTACCCCCGCCAGAAAAAGAAGAAGAATTAAGAGTCGAGAAGTGAAGGTAGAACAGAAAAGTTAGCTTGTGTTTTTAGGATAGTGAAGTAACACCCGACAAATTAGCTTGTGCTTTTAGTAGAATGAGATAACAGCCGAAAAGTTGACATGAGAAGTTGGCAGGTGAAGTAACTCTCAAAAAGTTGACATGAGAAGTAGGCAGGTGAAGTAACTCTCGACAAGTTGGCATGAGAAGTTGGCAGGTGAAGTAACTCTCGACAAGTTGGCATGAGAAGTTGGCAGGTGAAGTAACTCTCGACAAGTTGGCATGAGAAGTTGGCAGGTGAAGTTGGCAGCCGCTTTTAGAAGAAGAACCCTTCGCAATGCTTCCGGGAAAAACGCTCAACAAACGGAAGCTTTCCGTGGGGTCCTCCAGCAGCACCGCCGGGGCCGCGTCCACGTCGCGGCCGTTGGAGCGCAGCACCCGCTGGAAGTGGCGCCAGAGCTCGTCCTCGAAGCCCCGCTGCTGGCGGAGGTGGATGGAGTCCAACAGGGCCATGTAGTCGATGTAGGACTCCCCCGGGTGCCGGAAGGTCTGCAGGAACCTGAAAAAAAAATGATTTTTTTGGAGCGTGGGCCAAACATCGGGCAACCCCGAAAAACACTGGCCCGGGGAAATGGAACCAAGGACTGACACCTGCGGTTTTTTGGCGCTTTCATTTTGACCCATAGCCAGATAAGGGAAAGAGATCCACTGAAGGGCCTCAAGAGGAAACTTACAGTATTGGTTCTTGGGACCTGAGAAGGGGGTCTTAAACGGTGGTTTCTTTGGGGGTAGGAGGGTCAGAGCATGCCGCCCTGACTGGAAAATTGACCGGATGGCTTGGAGCTTCCCTTGGGCTCATGGTCACGAGCTGTGGGAAAACACTTGGCGTGACCAAACGGAAAGCCCGTTTGGAACTACGACGGGATTTGCAGCTCGCTAGGGACCGGACCTCCAAAGTGCCAGGACCAACCCAAGCCAGGTTTGGCTGAGAACCTGGTAGCCCTATGGCTCGGGGCAGCGTGCAGCGGGCAAGCCATACATCGACTCCAAAGCAGGAATGGCTGGTCTTATTCGGCACTCAGCTCTTCCGGTGTCTGAATTACCGGGCCGCATGAATCTTTCTGAAGGGAGAGTGTACCCAGGGAAGGACACCTTCTTCAGAAGGCGGGAAAATTTGGGGCCCAAAACAAACCGGAACCTGACTGAGGTTGAAGGAAAACCAAGAAGGGATGGAAATGAGAGAGTTGGCCGAAGGGAAGGGCAGGACAGGGATAAAAATTGCATTGAACAAGGAAAATGAGAACATTGCAAAGGCAACTGGGGAAGGTGGGGTGGGCAATGGAGCTGAGAGTGTGTGTGCGTGTGTGTGTTTTCCCCTCCGTTGGGCAACTCAGGATAAGCGAGCCTAAAGAAAAGCAGTTTTTGCAAAGGTCAGGGAGGGGGGGCAGAGATTCCCATGCCTTTGCTGGTCTGTGGTGCACTGATTTGATGCGCTTGAGAAGCAAAGACTGGCTCAACAGAGAACAAGCCCCAACTCTTTACACGTCTTCTTCTTGTTTTTTGGGGGAAAGGGCCTCAGCAAGCTTCCGAACCCCAAACCTCCCAAACCTCCCAAACCCCAAACCTCCCCCCCACCCGACTACCCGACCCGACGGCGCGACCGACGGCCTGGTGGAGATGGTCTCCGCGATCTCTGGGAAGCCCAGCGCCGTGAGCACGTGCCGCAGGTCCGAAGCCGTGAAGAAGCCGCTGCCCGTCATGTCGATCTCCCGGCAGCGGCACAGGAACTCCTCGGAGCCACCCATCTGATTTTTCCGCTTGGGACGAAGGAGGAAAGCGGGGGGGTGCAAAAGGAGAAGAAAAAACACGGTGCTCAAAGGCCAGAAGCTAGGAGCCTTAAATATACATCATGAGTGGAGATGTGTTTCTTCTTCCTCTTCTTCTTCTTTGAGGCCATTCCGAGCGTCCTCTTTTTGGGGAATCCTGCAGAACAACCTCCTATAATCTAGGTTGATTGATCCGAGCTCATCAGATTTGGGGACGCCGGCAAGGTTGGACCAAACGGCCACCGGTTTTGTGTGACGCTGTTTCAGGAATACATAGTACCCAAACACCCTCGTGAGCAAGACATGGTGCCCTCCATTTTGGAGAAGTCGCGAGCGCATCTATCCACTCATTGGCGCACATGTCCGCTGCCACCAAACCCCAAACCCCCCCCCCACCCACCCCACCACAAAAACCGAACGCCTGCAAGTCCTCCCTCCGGAACTTTCCAGCCAGCACCTGGAAAGCGACAGTCCGACCGAGCCTCACCCCGCAGAACTGGGTACCAAGACCCAGTTCTAAACCCTTGGAGTTGTGTTGGGCAAAATGGGAATGCATGTCGTTCGCTTCGCGCCCCCCCAACCAAAAAAAAAAAAAAGGAGAGAAAAAAGAAGGGGGGGGAAAAAGAGGGGAAAAAAACGGCGCGGCGCTTTCACCGGAGAAAAGCTTCGCCGCACCTGGGCGCTGTACATCTCGATGAGGCTGGTGCGGTAGAAGCGCCGGAGGTTCAGCATAAAGGAGGCGAACATGGAGCCCGAGGGGGAGCTGTCTGCCAGCCGCAAGATCCAGGGGTGGTCCAGCGCCTCCTGTTTTTTTGTTTTTGTTTGGTGCTGGGAGCGAGGAGGGGTGGGGAAGCCATGTTTGTGTAGGTGGCGAGAAGATACGGGAGAAATAGCATGGACTCATCTTGGGCATTCTGAGTCATGCTGAGTCATCCAAGTCAAGTCCATGCATCATAGAACTTTTTCCTAGCACCCCCACCACCACCACCCCCAAACCCCTCCAACAATGGTCTATTTTTGTCTTGCCCAAGGGAGTTTGAGGGGTCATGGTCAGGGGAGGGGCGTGAATAGATCCGAGGATTGTATCTTCCCCATTCTTTCCTGAGATGCTGTCCGAAGAACCGGCCAAAACTCGAGGGCTCTCGAATGATTGTTGAAAAGAAAGATAAACCAAATCAAACTTCGGATCGGCAGTCAGACTCCAATACAAGCTAAATGACGGCGGCAATTTTGCAAACGGACCTTCCAAGATGCTTTGCGTGGCGCAAAGGGCCATCCCTTTTTTACGCTAAGATGCCATGAACCCGATCAACTGCCCGACAATGGACTGTGCTGCGCGTGAGTATGCAGATCCGGAAATGCGCTTCGTGAAGCTGCCCAACACAATCCCCAGTCTGCGCGGAGATCAGCAAAAACAGGTCGGTCTCCAAGATTGCGAACCCCACCCCCAAAAAAAGTGCACAGCTAATCCCAAAATTTGTTCTGCTATTTGGTAGGCCGCATCGTTTGCCATGAGTTGCTTCTTGGGGCATTGGCACTCTTCCGAAATCTTGGCAAGGGGAATGTTTTTTTGCAGAGCTTTCTCTTGGGTGACACTCAGGTCACCCCGTCAAGTCGAGCAACGCTTTGCACACAGACCGATCGATCAAGTAATTATCCTGCATGGAAGTGTGATGTCTTCAGCTCAAAACCCCCCCAAAAAAAAAACTGCAAACCATCACCCCACCCCGCCAAAAGGCGCCCACCCCCACCCCCCTCTCCTGGATGCTGAAGCGATCCCAGAAGGCGTGCTGCAGGCACCCCGATACGAAACTCTTCGCCTCCTCCGAGATCTTGGACCAAAAGGGCGGGTCAAAGGACACCTCCCAGAGGTCAAAGGGCTATGGCTTTGATGGCTTTGATGGCTTTCCCTTTTTCCCATTGGCAGCCAGCAAAACCAAAGCGCCCGGACGGCTCTCCCTGTGGCCCAGGGCAGCGCGATGCGAAAGAGAAAACCGGCCTTCTCGTATTTTTGGCATGCCTGAAGTTAGATTGGTTTAGCGGGGAAAAGGAAAGCCACCATTTTGAGGTCCTTTTGACACATGGGCCGGGGTGACTCACAAACTCTGAGCCGTGACGTCACCTTCTTCGCTCGATGGGGTTCCTTGAAGAATATTCATAGGTCTATGACCGCCCTGCCATCTGGAAGAAACCGGGATGTTCTTCAGGAGGGGGGGTGGCTGGACTTTAAGTCTTTGATTCTGTCTATGACTTGCCGCCCACCAGAAAAGCGCAAGGCCGCACAGAAGTCATGGCTGATGTGAGCCAACTGTAGCCAGATGTGCAAATCGAGTGCCACCCACCCCAGCAAAGAAACGGTATACCCTCTAAGTAAAACTAACATGGAATCCACCTGTCTTCCAGGACCTTCCTGCGGGGTTCCATGTTTGTGGATCGGAAATGATCGGAACGTAGTATCTGCTGATTGCTGAAATAAGTCCTCATGGCAAGAGGCCTTGATAGTGGTCGATCAGATTGCAACCCCAAATCCCTCGCATGCCGATGATTACATCAGCATGTGTCTCAGACCCAAACCCATGGCTGATCGCGAACAAAGCCCGCCATACAACGCAGCAGAGGTTCCACTACCAACCACCTACGTCCCCGACGAAGATCCCACATTTAGGACACCTGGACACTCATTTGAGGCGACTGCATCTGTGCCTCTAAAGTTTGGAAGCAGGGCCGTGCCAAGTCCCACGAGTGCAAATTCAACAGCGACACTGCTTGAACCCAAGCCCACTAACCCCACAAGCCCCCTTGCCCAGTTCCACCTGCCTCCGCCCTTAAAAAAAAACAGCGATCCAGAGCCTCCCCTCGGTGGATCCGTGCGAGGATGGCGTTCCTCGCGGGCGCGAAGAAGGGCGGGTACCCGCAGAGCAGCAGAAAGGCCATCGCGCCGATGCTCCAGACGTCCGCCGCCTTCAGGCCGAACCAAAATTCGCCAGGCCTCCCTGACCCATTCGCCATGCATAGAAACCAGCAAAAAAAGAAACTGTACAGGAGGTCGGACACATAAACAAAGCAGGGCGTTTTTCCTGCAGAATTTCCTGCTGGCCTCTTAGGCACGTAGCATCGAGGGTCCTTACCAAAAAACATAGCATCGAGGGTCCTTGCAGAAAATCACACTTTCTTCTTTAGCGAGTGCGTTGTTTTGCGAGCACGGGGCCTTCAAACCCCATAGCGCCAAACAGTTTAACATCGCAAAGAGGCCACACCAAGATGTCTTCAGCAACTACCGTATCCATGCACAACAAATCACAGCCACTGCAACTGGATTGACGGCACTTGAATATGAACATCTTTGGTGTTGTTTCGTCCAGCACAATGTCTTTCCGGGCCTTGTGTGGCTAACAGGACTTTTGGCCTTCCAAACTTGCAGTCTGTAGCACTAGCTGGCTGACTGTTTCTGCTTCAGGCCTCACCTGCAGATCCCTCCGTCTTCTCCATTCTGCTTGGCATCTGCCGTCCATTTTTGTGGCCGCTCGCACCCGAGAAAAAAAAATAAAATATAAAAAAAAAAAAATCATCCATCCGATCATTCCTTTCGCCCCTTGGGCTTCAAAGATCACACCACTTTTGCGGGTGGAAGGGATTGGGCACCAAGTCCACCCCCACACCCCCCACACCCACCAGTTCCTTTGGTCGCCTGGTTTTTGGTGCAGTAGCTGCTGGCGCCGCTCTCCAATGTGGGGCGCTGCTGCTCCACCCAGTCCGCATGCTCCTGCCAAGTCGATTCGCTCGGCAGGGGCTGGGGCATGCGCTTGCCCGGCTCTTTTCGGTAGTCTGTTTTTAGTTGGGGAACCCTCCCAACCCAAAAAAAAAAACGGCAACAGGGCACTACTGGGGAACCTGGATAACAAACCATGAATTGTGGAAAACGATGAATTGTGCTTTTGGCTTGATTCTCTCTCTCTCTCTCTCTCTGCCGTTGCGTCCAGAGGGTCTTGACTCAGCAAGGCAACGAAAAAGGTCCCCACTGATGTTCAGGGGCACCAACAACATAGTACAGCCTGGGCAGACATCAAGCAGGAGCCTGAAGGATTCTACGGGTGCCCCTAAGCGAAACCAAGGAAAACGGCCCCATTCTCAGGAACACCGATCCATACTTTTGAGACAAGGCCACACCACCATCGCTTGCTCTGGGCTTTCCCTGCGCCGGCTCTTCCACGCGCAAGGAACCAAACAAAGCAAAACACCCAAAAGCAAGCCACACCAGAAAACAAAGCAAACACAAGGACACACACGCAAGAACGAAGAAAGAACCAAAGCAACCGCACCAAAACAAACTACCAACCCAACCAAACCAGCCAAACAAGCTGACAAACCTCGTCCCAGTCCTGGAGCACATCCGCCAGCAGTTGCTCGTCAAGCAGGCCGCCCGGCTCCACCTATGCGAATCCACCACCAGGTTCCATGGACCCTGGCTTCATTTGGCCATGGGTCAAAACCCAAATCGTACCCCCAGTGAACATCCGATTCAATCCAACCACTAGGTTCTAAAATGGGTGGTGCACCGAACACCCTAAAATGGTACCATTGGTTTTGACCCTGGCATCCTTTGGGCGTGAAATATTCAATCAGGCTCTTTGGCGGACAGAGTTCACTTTAAATTCATTTCCACTTAGATTCACCAGCCATTCACAGCCAGAAGTACAGCTTCCCCAAAGGGACATCGGAAAACTCGGGCTTGCCCGAGTTTTATGGACCACACCTACTGGAATTGCTGACCAGGCCTCACATGGCGTCTATGTCTACGGGCCATGTTTGAAGCGGTGTTTAGCTGACGTTGATGCTTCTTGGACATTACTTTCGCCGTGTTCAAAAGGTTGGGTCGCCGGAGAGCTTTAGGAACTTGGGGGAGGTGCACAGGTCACCACGTACGAAGAACAACGCCTGCGAATGTTTACGAGGCTCATGGTTTCGCAACTGGCGTGAGAAGACACTTCCTCGAAGCCAGGGGTTCTAGCAAAGTTACGCGGCGGCACGAGCTTTGACAACTCCATGCTCGCCCTCCTTTGCACGAGGGTGACTCCCGGTGGTTTTGTTCAGTTCGAAGGCTACCGCGGAACGCATAAAACGCACCGAGGTTGAGAATTTCAGGACACGAGGTGTCCTTCAGAACGAATCTGAAGGAATTGGACGCTTTTTGAGGGATTCGCCGAGCCAAGCCTCTCGTTCCACCTCTAGGTCCTCCAGTAGAGAGGTTAGAATAAGGGTACCCATTTTCTCTTTTTTTGTCTATTTAGTAGGGGAACCGAATCTCCCAACCAAAAAAGAAACGGTGAGAAAGGGCACCGATCTCGCCTCCACCCAGGCCGTCTCCAGCACATCCAGGTCCGGGCCCATGTCCTCAGGGGACCAAATGGCTAGGTCGCTTTTGGAGGACACCCCCCTTTTTTAAGGGGTTTAAAGGAACACCAAGAATAAACCCACGCATTTGGATTGGCCAAAAAAATGGAGAAAGACGCTGGAATGAGCGCAAACTCCGAGCCTGGTTAGAACGCTCAGCTCAGTCGGGCTCAAAAAAAAGGCACCTCCGCCCCAAGTCCCCAAGTTTCCCCCCAACCCCCAACCCCCGCCAAACCCGCCTTTTCCTGGACCCCCGGTCCTTGCCTCCCTCTTTCCTGGACCCCCGGTCCTTCTTCCTCCTCTGGGGGGGCGCGAACTCGGGCGCCGCGAAGACCAGCTTGCAGGTCTCGAAGAAGTGGGGCAGCCGCGGGCTCTGCAGATCCCCGCGGCCCTCCACCGCGTCCCAGCGGTGGGCCTGATGGAACTGGCCGAGTCCGCTGGGTGCCCTGAGTCTCTCCTCATGTTGACCCAGTCGCACTAGTCTTCCCTCCAGTGGTCTGAAGCCCCACTAAAAGGAATTGGACACCCCCCGATCAAAATCAACCAGGAGGTCATTAATCCGGGGTTAGCAGTACTGGCACACGGGTTTATTCATGCTGGGATTACAGAAATGCGCCCCAAACTGCACATGCCTCATGCGCACAACAGAGTGCTAGTATGCTTAATGCTTCACAAAATGCATTTTTTGAAGGAGGCCTGTCCCAACCGACCAGATCGCGGCATTGCCAGCACATACTCAGGAAGATGAACTGTTTCGTTCAAGGAACCCTGCCCAAAAGAAATGCAAAGGCGGATGGATCTGCCTTTAGCAGCCCTGTAAACCAGCGAGGAAAGACCCATAACTGCTGCGTGTGTTAAGCAGCGACCTCTCTCGGTGCATGTCGCCAACTCCGTTTTCTGGCGCCCACCCCCCATGCTACTCCATTTGTCTCGCGTCAGGCTCGCCCCTTCTCAACTTGAGATAACCCTCAATCCCCTCCCTCCCTCCCTCCCTCCCTCCCTCCCTCCCCTCCCCTAAAAAATGGTTGAAAGGTTGGTTCTAGGGTAGGGTATTTTCAGTTCAGGGTTTCAGGGGCAGGGATGAAATTAAACAAGCAAACCATTTTGTTCAAAATACCAAGGTTGATTGTGGGGAATTTTCCTAAAATTTATCAACATGTTTTTACATTTTTTCAGAATGAAAGGGGTTAAGATTTGTCCTTTTCAAAGTCTCTGCTATGGTCGTTTTTAGGGTTGAGGGTTGCGTTTAGTTGTTTAGGGTTGAAACTTTTAGGGTTTGTTTAGGGTTGATGGTTGAAACTTATGGGGGTTGTTTAGGGTTAAACATTTATGGGAGCACCATCGCTCTCTCCCGCGTCGTCTTCAATGAGTTCATCTTCATACCGTCGGGACTCCCAGATGCTCATTAAGAGTGAAGGCATTAGTCATTATGGTTTCATCACACTTACATTTCCGCAGCAGAACTTTTGATTGAGACAAGCACTCGCTTCTTCCTGTGAGTTTTTCTCAGTGTATCAATGGCGCCCAAGCAAAGCAAGGGATATAAGTCCTCTACTGAGCAGCCCGAGCAGCCGGAGCAACCGGAGCAGTCAGAGCAACCAGAGGACATCATCATGGAAGAAGAACAGACAACGGCAGATCCCAACATTGCTTGCGGCTCTTCGGAAGACCCCTTGGTCAGTCAAATCACTCAAAGCATGAGTGAGATGAGCCTGAAAGAGATGAAGCGGGCTCTTCGCAAGAAGGTGGAAGAGAAGGAGGAGTTGGAGAACCGCATGAAGGAGTTGACCAAACAACTCGCAGAGGATAAGAAGAAGTTTAAGGAGCTGATGGCACCGCTTCTGGAAAAGGAACGCCTTGAAAGAACCAAGATGCGCCGCGAGGAAACCAAGAAGGCAGGTCATGAGGACAGAGCCAGCTACATCAACCTCGACATCATGTACAAGGGTGTGAAGTACCAAATCAACGTCAAGAAAGGCAGCTCCACGGGCAAGTTGCGCGAAAAGCTGGTGGAGCTCTTCGGTCTCAAGAGCAAGCAACGCCTTGTTATGGACTTCAAGGGGACTTACGTCTACATCTCCAACAACGGTAAGTCCTACGGGTTGAAGCGGTGGAACACTCTTGGGGTCAACAGTGGCGATTGCATCAATGTTTCGTTGCCGGACACCACCACCACAGAGAACACTGAGAACAACAACGAGGTGGAGAGTGCTGTGGAGCTCAATGAGGAGGAGAACAGTGAGAGCGAGAGTGAGACCAGCGGGTCTGAGAAAAATTCAGAGAAGTAGATTAGTGGCATAGATGTCCAGCAGTGCAATGGAACTTGACATTCCCTCTTGGATATGTTGATGTTATCAACTTAACAGCTGTTTGAGAGGAACTCCAACTGCTGGTGAATATGCAATGTGCCTTTGAAGGCAACTTGAAACGGTCATCGGGGGGAACAGTATGTGGAAGAAAAGACGCGTTGCTTATGACATCACCTTGACCTACTGTTTGATTGTCTCTGTGCTCTGCTTGAAGTTGTGAATGCTTGACCATAGCCATTTGTGGTTTCAGTTTCATCTGCCCCCGCATTTTGAGACCCTTTACTGACAATGGTTCGAAGCCGTGTCATTAAGAACTACTTGAAGACCAAGGGCGAAATCATCAATGAGATGGTCAAATCGTCTATGTCTTTGCTCAAAAAGCGGAAGGCGGAGTTGTCCGATGATGCTTCGAGCACCATACCACCTTCGCTGACAAGTTCAGTTCAACCAGTCTTGGAGCGTATATCAATGGCAAGGTCAAAATTACAGGAAAACCAGCCGGTTGTCTCCAAACTACTTGAAGAACTGTCAGATGAACAACTTGGCGCTTTGAAGAAGGCGTTTGACAAAAAGAAGAAGGTGTCCTTCACAGAGGAGCGACTTTATGATGGAGCTCACATCGCCTTGGATGACCTTGCTATGCTTGAAGAGTGGTCTACCTACATCTCTCACTTGCGTGGGGAAATAATTGGACTATGGGTCGCCTCCTTTGCCCAAGAATTTCACCAAGACGACAACAACAACGGTATCCACTACTCAAATGAGTTGTTTGTCAAGGCGTTGGATGAGAACATCAGTTATAGACGTGGAATACGCAGGGCATCCTCTACAAACGAACCACCTGTGGAAAGACCTGATGAAGGACGATGCTGTGTAATGTAATTCAAATGCTTTTGTCCTCGAAGACCAGCATTTGAAGCAGGAGAAACCATTTCATCAAAAGCCCCGCCTTCATTTCATCAAAAGCCCCGCCTTCATTTCATCAGTGTTGAGGAAATCATTTCATCAGTGTTGAGGAAATCATTTCATCAGTGATGAGGAAATCATTTCATCAGTGTTGAGGAAATCATTTTCATCAGTGTTGATGATTGGGTATTCTCCTCCATTTGCTGACTTGGACTTTGTGCTCTGGCACGCTCGGTGCGAAAACCGCACCATCTGGGGTTGGGTGGTCTATTCCACCTTGTTTTTTTCCTATGGTAAATGATAAACTCATCTCTTTTCTGGGGTTGCCTATGTGGAAAAAATGACATGCCTTTTGCTCGTGTGAGTGCTGAGCCTTTCATCTGTCTTTATCCTTTTGGGTTTGCTATGATTTTGCGACTGCCTGAGGTTCAGAACATTGCCTACCAGACTGCCACCATTCAGGTTCAACCGAAACCCTAAGGGAGCATCATTGATTATTTTTCTGCTTGGTCAAGGGTTCAAACAAAAGCATTCAGGGAGTGATTTTACCAAGCAGGATGGGTCGGTCGGAGGGTCGGTCGGTGTTGTGTCCAACCAATTCAACCCCTTCAACCCAATTGTTTTCAATGTTGAACCCAACCCCAATCCCATAACCACCAATCATAAACAAAACTACTTAAAGAGAAAATACCTTATATAGTATAGATATATGGCAGGGGATTTCAGTTCGGGTTCAGTAATTGAGTATTTGTTATCCAATAATGAAGCAACCAAAAAAACAGGGAAGAATAACAAACCATTGAAAAAACTAATCATCAACAACAAAGAATATTATTATAACAAAGACAAACCATTATCAACATCACTTCAAAACAAACTCAATCAAGTCAGCAACACACAAGGTTTCAAACGATTTCATCTTCTTAAAAAAGCATCAAACACAATGAGAGGCATTAAAACAATCCAGAAATACAGATTAAAAATAGGAGCAAAAACATCAGAGACATTCTCGGCACTGAAAGGATATGCCAACACATATTCAATATCCAACATACCATTCAAGGGATACAAAGGATTAACATATCTTCTATGGCAAGAAAAGAAACTAACAGAGTTTTTACAACAAGCAAAGTCAATGAAACTACTGATTGATGTTGAGGTTATTTTTGATAAAGTTAGACAGCAAGAAGAGGATGATGGAGAAGATGAACCAACTGAGGAAAATATACAAATATAACACAATATGAGGAGTAGGAGATACAACATTCTAAATGTAGGAGACTTGAAAAAAGCATTGGAAAATATACCTAAAGAGATTGAACTACAAATTGAAAGCTCACCTTTGATTAATTTCTTGTAGTTTCTCATATGTTGTGGATGGTCTTTCTTGAAGACTTCATAAAATTTACATAAAACACAATATTTAAAACATAATTCATCATCATTTTGAATGTTGATACATGCTTTTTTCTTTGAAATCCATTCTGGTAGTTCCATATATTTACCTGCTCTGTTTGGATTGTATTTGTCGTAGTGGATGGTGATTTTGTTAATCTTATTAATCTTCAATCCTGAATGTTGAAAGTCTAATTAAATGGGATGGTGTAAATTTTCCAGCATCCAATGATGACATAGACCATTTTGAAGAAATCAATAACAAATCTATATCAGTTAATGTTTATGTTGAAGATGAGAACCAAACCATCAGAGCAGACAGAATAACAAAAATTGAAAGACCATCTTGTCATATTAACTTATTGCGGATTGAAAAAAATAATAACGAACACTATGTTTTAATAAAAGATTTTAGTAGGTTAGCAGGAAGACAAACAAACAAAACAACTAATAAAATGTTTTTGTAGTTTTTGTCAGCACGGTTTCAAGTCAGAAAAACTTTTAAATTCTCACTTAATAAAAAGGTTGTATGGCAAATGACATTCAACAAACAAAAATGCCAGAAGAAGGGACAACAATGAAATTTGAAAAGCATTTTAAGAAACTGAAAGCACCCTTTGTTATTTACGGTGATTTTGAATGTTTAACAACAGAAACATCAGATGGAATAAAGGGAACATACCAAAATCATAAACCCAGCGGTTATATGCTTAACCTTGTTAATGCTTACAGTGGAGAAATGAAACCATTTTTATATAGAGGCGAAGATTGTATTGATAAATTTTGTGAAACATTAAACAATATCAGAGACGATGTAATGGAACAAACGAAAAAACCAAAAGATATGATTATGTCAGATTTAGATGAAATTAAACATTTAGAAGCTAAAAAGTGCTTCTTATGCAATGATAATTTCAACAACAAAGTAGAAGCGAAAAAGAAAGTTGCTGACCATTGCCACTTTACTGGAATATACAGAGGAGCAGCACATATGAAATGCAATATAGACTATTGTTTTAAAAAATATCATATACCAGTATTCTTTCACAATCTTAAAAACTATGATGCTCACCTAATAATTTCTAATCTTGAAAAGCTAAACACAAAGAAAGAAAGCATATCAGTACTAGCACAGAACAGTGAGAAGTTTATTACATTTTCATTAAACAGACTTGAATTTAAGGATAGTTTCAGTTTCTTGTCATCGTCATGAGATAAACTGGTTAAATTGACAAAGTATGAAGATAAGAAATTAAGGGACAACTGGCAGGAAAATGTCAAATACAGTTTCAAAGGCAAATACATTAAAAACGAAAAAGATTTATTTTTACTGACAGAAAAGGGAGTTTATCCTTATGACTATTGTAATGACTTCAATAAATTTAATGACACTGAACTACCAGAAAAGAAACATTTTCATAGTAGATTAAGCGAAGAAGATATACGCGATGTTGACTATGAAAGAGCAAAACTAATATGGAAGCACTTTAACATCAAAAACCTGGGTGAATATCACGATTTATATTTAGACTCCGATGTATTATTATTAACCGATGTATATGAAAATTTCAGAAAACAATGTTTAACTGATTATGAATTAGACCCCGCCCATTACTACACATTACCTAACTTTGCTTGGGACGCGATGCTATTAAAAACAGGAATTGAACTTGAACTTTTACACGATGAAGAAGTTTATAAAATGATAGAGCAAGGACTAAGAGGCGGTATGTGTCAGGTTTCAATGAGAAAAGCAACTGCTAATAACAAGTATACGGGAGATACTCATGATGAAACAAAACCAACGTCCTATATCAATTATTTAGATGCTAATAATCTTTATGGTCTGGCAATGTGTAAGAAACTACCATACAAGAAAATATGATTTGTAAAAGATAATTTCTCAGAAGAAGACATTAAATATTACAATAGTGATTACAGCAGCAAAGGTTATATTTTAGATGTTGATTTAGAATATCCGAAAGAATGCCACGACAAACATACTGATTCTCCATTAGCACCAGAAATTATGAGTGTATCAGCAGATATGCTTTGTGATTATCAGAAAGAAACCTACAAAGCATATCATTTTAATAATGCACCAAAAGATGAGAAAACAAACAAGTTGATACTAAATGTTATGGCTAAACAAAATTATGTTTTACATATTGACATTTTAAAATTCTATTTGAAACAAGGACTTAAAATCAAGAAAATAAACAAAGTAATAGAATTTAGACACAAGCAATGGTTGAAACCGTGGATTGACTTTAACACAGAGAAACGAAAGGACGCTACAAGCGACTTTTCAAAAGATATGTACAAATTAATGAACAACGCTGTATACGGCAAGACTACGGAAAATGTGAGAGAACACATTGACTTTGAGCTGGTTGATACACCTGAACGCTACCAAAAAATGTGTGAATAACCCAAATTTCAAATACAGACATATCATCAATGAAAATCTTATAGGAGTTGAGAAAGCAAAAAGTGTAGTTAGATTGAATAAACCAATATATGTAGGAATGAGTATTTTAGATTTATCAAAACAACATATGTATTCATTTTACTATGACATTATGAAACCGAAATAGAAAAAGTAATATCAGAATGTTATATACTGATACTGACAGTTTTGTATTACATATTAAAACCGAAGATGTATATGATGACTT